AGGATGATTGCTATTCTTCCATAAGGAATGCACAACTGCTTAAAAAACCCCCTCAAATAGAAAAAAAAAAAATCAAAACAAAAACAAAAACAAACCAACCCCAAATTACTGGGTATAATGTACTTAAATCGGGACTTATAATAAAAGGATTGTCAAGTCCCTCTGCAGATCACTGCAGACTTTTCTGCCTGGCTACTGGCAAGTGGACAAAATTCTCTAAATTCTTGCATGTCCTGGCATGTGTATGGCTGCCTGAGTCTGTTCCTCATCATGTCTCTACTGTATTCTTGGAAGTTGTATCTTCTTGTCAGGCAGAAACAGGAAACGGTGCCTTTGTAGGAATTTCTACCATATGTCAAGCTAGGGAAAGCAGCCGGGGGCCGGGGCCGGGGGTGTGCGTGTGGGAAACGCCGCAGCATGGTTAGCAGGGATTTTAATTGAGAAAAGTTCCCTTCCCCCACGTTACAAATGGAAAACTACAAAGAAGGAGAACACGACTTCTCGAAGGCCAACAATTAAATCACCGCAGAGCCAGAAAGCAGCCTTAAGTGCCTGAAATCTCTCTGCTCTCCTGCCCATGGGAGCAACTGTCTCCTAAAAATGACTAGCTTTTTACTGCAGAAGGATAGGGGAGTGAGACTAGGCGCTTTTTTTTGTTTTAATTAAATAAAATAAAATAAGATCATAATAAAACAAAAGAATGGAGGAAGATAAAGACAGAAAAGTATAGATACCTATTTGGAGATTTTGAATAACTTCTTTTTCAAGGTTTCCCTATTGGAGAACATCCTTCAAAACCCCCTAATTTGTTGATAAATGACATTATGCAAGTTGCATTTGTTCTCACCCATTACAACACTGGCAGAGCTTAGGAAACCAGTAATGTTGCTATGATACAAGGAACCAGTCATGTGAGTTCTGGCTCTTTTCCATGTGTTTAAAAATATCAAAAAGCTTTAGAAAAAGCCAAGAGGGTGGGGAAATTCTTGTAAGGCTATGCTGCGATTCAGTGCAGCTTTTGCAAACACTGAAAATAAGGAATGGGAAAAGATGACTGTAAAAGAGTTGGGAATTTTGTGCATGGTGATGCACATGTAAATGCATGAATGATGGCAATGGGTTTGGGAAGCAGTAAGAGATATACAGCTATATATACATTCCTAAGTCCTAGGGGCCTGGGAAGCTTCTAAATGTCAGATCCACAAACTGACTAAAGCTAAACTTTTTTCAAAAGCTAAAAAAAAATCACTTTAGTATCTTCAAAATCCCTTTCAATACACGCCACAGAAATAGCAAAAAGTTACTGTATTATACTTTAAATTAACAGAAGGGAAAGAAAGCCAAGGTTTCAATTGCAGCTTTAAATATCAAAAGTGAATGGAAGAAAAATCACACTGCTTAAAATATGTCATTACTTTTAATATTACTACTGAACTTTCATGCTATGCTTTTTATCAGCTAAAATCAAAAGGGTATGACCCTCTTGAAATTAGATGCTTTATATAATCTGTAGTAAACACCTAGACACCTAGAAGAATTTAGGCATCTTCTTTTCTTTTTTGGCACTGCTTAACAGTGTGACAGGTAATCCACAAAACATCTACCAACCTGCTTAGGCAATTCAACATCCATGGACTTGGCTCTGCGATGAAACTTAGTCATCTAAAGCTAACCAAAACCCTGGGCTCCCTCCCTGCCCCCAGGAAAGAAACTTTGTGGCTAGACTAAAACAAAAAGATTTAAACTTCCTCTTGCTTTACCTACTTTCCCATAAATCTTGTATGCTTGGCTGCACTGTGGTTCAGATTTAGCAAAGATTTTAATGACTAGATGCACACCTAAGATACATTTAATTTAAAAAACAAATAGTCTTGAGACATCTGCAGTAATAGTTTTGGAAAGCTTTTCAAACAAATAAGGAAAAAAAATTCAATCAGAAGGGTAGTACGCTATCGTAAATTTGTTGTGTATTAGTATCTATAATGATTGTAAATACTCAGATACGTTACTATAAAATATTGCAGGTATATCACACTAGTTCTTTCTTCTATTGATAACCTTTTATAACCACAGAAGATCACCTTCTCCTGAAAATGCACAGAAGTCCACTATTTTTTCTAAAATCTTGTGAAAAATATCCAGCAATTACCTTGTGGAAACAGAGTAGAATTCCTCTTTGAAAAGACATTCCTTGTCTGCCACTGTTATATTTGTTACATCTTCTGCTTTTATTCCCAAATTAGATCCCATGATGGTCAAAAGAATTCCACCACTTAGTGGTCCAGTTTTTGGCTCAATCTGTGTTTGCATGAAGAAAAGTAAAAAAAAAAAAAGCAAAATTAAATACTGCAGTGACCATGTTGCTCTTCCATGTTATTTAAAGCTCCTTTGACTTACCCATACTTGAAATTAAAAAGATGTTTCTTGTAGGACCCCCACAAAAACATGCTATGTAACTTTTTAATGTTAATTAATTACTTGTTCGCTCAGAATGAGTATTCATCAGCTGCTGATTTCGTGTCTCCTGTGGCAGACTGTTACGTACAAAACTCCTGCTGCGTGTTTACTCTGTTTTAAGTTTGCTTCCTCCGCTCCAGCTCTATGATTTTGAAAGGCAAATGGATTGGGCTCCTCTCACAATCATTCCATGGGCTTTTCTGCCCTTTTTTTGCCAAGATTTTCTCTGTTTAGGTTCATGGCAGAAGAGTGCACCTTCCTAAAACACACTGCTGTCCCACATAATGTCTCCAAAAGTTCTGCTAGCCCCTTGGTCGTCTTTACTGCATCAAATGGTAGGATGCCACAGTGCATGGGCTGCTACTAATTAAATAACTGGCAATTAAAATGATGACTGAGAAAATCCTGTGGTCACAGTGGACTTCTCAGGTTGAAATATGGCCTCAACAGGCACTATTCTGAATATTTGTTGGGAGGCTCACCTGCTTTGCTATGCAATAAATGGAGCACCTCTGGCAAGACCTTTTTGGGTGTTCAGCTCTGAAGGGCTGCAAGTTTATCATGAAGAAGACGGACGTTGCACAGTCCCAAATAGTGTAATTGGAAGGCAAACAAATACGGCTTCTGAAAGTCTGGACTTTAACATCTGCTGAGTTTCTTAGATCTAAGCAAGTCTGAGCACAGACACAAGGCTGCTGCTGCTGGCTGCCCAGCCCAGCTCCAGAGTCACTTGCTCTGTTTTCTTACTGGTTCAACTTCCTAAAACTTCTGCCCGCTGGCCATCCCTTTGCACTCAACCCATAAACTACCTAGCCGAAAAATGACTTAAAGGTTTGTGTAGATGTTTCCAAATATTTTGTTCAAATCTGAAATTAACAAAAGCTTTGAAAAATTTACTATTTCAATATTTAATCCACAATTACGTACAAACAATATCCCAGGTGAAAACACTTTTATTTTTCTTAGTTTTCTTTTTCCTTCCCACTCAAATTATCTTCATCTGGGCACAGCTAATCACACAAGCATTCTTCTCCACACTTTTCGTCAAGATTTCAGGGTATTTGCCTTCCTTGGCAGACTTAACTGTTTACCTGCTATTTCTTCTTAGCTACACCATCATGGCCAGTCTCATCCAGTGTCTCTAACAGTTTGAGCCACAGGTTTCAGAACTAAACAGTTCCTATCTTATTTGAGTGAAACATCCCTGTTATGACTCTCAACCTCTGTCTTACAGTTACTGCATTTTGTGATAGCTTGGGATACGTTCTCATTGAACGGTGAGTCTAAGTTTCAAAGTATGGATACCACTGTTGCAGCAACTTAGATTTGCCCAGTGGAAGTACATGTCACACTTCTCTTGACAATTATGCCCAGAAAAACAGCATTTGGCTTGTTGCTGAAAAGGACAAGAATTTATCACTTCTTGCTTTGGCTACAGGTCCATCAAGGTGGACAACACTCTTCCCTCGCTCCCACTGTAGGACTACTGCCGAGTAAGCCAGCTTCTCTGACTTCTTACATCCAACTTCTACAGCCCTGGGTTTCATCCTGGTGTGGACTGGAAAATATCACTGACACCTGGAAAACAAACTGTGATGCAGAAACAACCTGCTCCCTTATTAAACACTATTTAGAAGTCTAGCTTGAAGTCTGTTAATGAGCCTGCTATGTGCTTGCAGTTCCAGGCACAGTGAACCTCTCTTACAGACTTATTTCAGGTAGAAAGGACTTCAGGAGAGAAAAAAAATCTGTGCTATTTCCCAAGAATCAAGGGCCACGTTTAAGCACACACTGCTAGCCGGGCTTCTAGCATGGTGAGGACAAGGCTTGAAAAACAAGGAGTCTCAAAGACTCCATTCAGTCTCTTGAGTCTTTACAAATCCCTCACACACATCACTACTGGCATTATTTCCTTGCAGCTATTTCAGAGGCTTACTTAACACCCTAGGAAAAAAACTGCCTTTCAGTATGAGCTTGCATGAATGCTTTCTTCCTGAAAAATAATACACTGGTAGGGAGAGAAAAAAGCCATCTTACGCGAGTGATTTCTGGATGAGGACACGTGTCAGTGGGAGGAGCGTGACAGAGTTTTTCATAAACGCACTTGCTGGGCTTGCCCTCTTCTTCACACCAGACACATTTATAGTCGCGATGGGCTGCGAGGCATAAGCTGCAGTCGCTTCGTCCGTAAGAGCAGTTGTACAGAGTCACTGAAATATGAAAGGTAAATGCGCTTAGACATTTCCCTCTGTTTCAAGGGTATTCAGTGTGTTGTAGGAAGGAAAACTAATCTGATGTACAAAGCCTGCCTGTTGCTCATTTGAGTTGTGTGAAGAATATGCACACTCTGTACTTAATCCCTGAAATGATGCTGAAAAAACCCTGTAGTTTTCCCTCCACAGAAAAACCTCAAATTATCCATGTGCAGAGTATGAATAAACTATCTAGAACCCAAATGCATTTCTGTCACTCAGGCATTGTCAAAACATTTAAGTACAAAGTCCTTTGACTATCCTCCATGAACCTGCCTATACAACTGCTCAAAGACTAGTACAAACAAATGGGTCCTCCTGGCGTACCAGGAGTCAGACATGGAAGTGTATAAGCTTCACATGGGTTTCACTGGGGACAGACATCAGCTGCCATGGGACCTCTGCCAGTTGTGTATTTAAAGGAAGAGAGCTGCCTTTGTTGGATGTTTCCAGGACATTTGGCCCTTTCCAAAATCATCGCTAAAGCCTGAATTGAATAGAAAGTTAACACTTAATGAAGTGTTATCCTTTGTCAGGTTAATACCTCTTGATTTCTCCAATCTTCTATATTTTCTTGCTTTCGTTTTCCCTTTTGTCTTGAATTGTCATCCTGATGTATGCCTTATTCCTTCTGTAGTGGGGTTTAATTCTAGTTTTTCTAAGCCAAGAAATCAGGTCTGACAGTCATGCCTCTCTTACTGATGAACCATGCACCAACTGTCCCAGACACTAAACTTGTTTTGGTGCCCATCAATCTCCAGTATGATGCACAGCACTGAACAAAATTAATTTTCCCAAATAGATGCAAAGCCTTGAGACAGAGCTGGGTGGTTCAGCACCATATGGAAAGCCTGAGCTTGCAAGAAAACATTTGGAGATGCACTTGAGAGCTAGTCCAGAAGAAAACAGACTGAAAAGATGCCACACATTTCTCTAGGGGAAGCGTGCAAGTTGCACAGATTACTCAGCGTGTGAGAGCTGTGCTTCCCTGGGAAGGTGAGCTGATTATTGTAGAGGGAAACTTCTTGCTCCCTCCTTTTCCTTCCCTTCATT